CCAAATGCATATTTGATTATTGATGACTAAAAGCATGATCAGTGATAGTGACTTTTACCTGGGAATGAAGTCATAAGCTTGGGTATAATTGTACCTTCCATAATAATAATTCATAATAATCCATTAGAGGATTTTACATGGGTTTTGGGAAGCCTACACCAATATTAAAGTTCTACTCCAACACACTTAATAGTTGGTCTGATACCTCTGCATAAGAAATACTTTTCTTCAGGTTTCATGAAGATTGCAGTACATATTTGGACATGGTGTGGACACGCAAGAAATTCCTAATGTGTCCAAGCAAAGAACTGCAGATTCAGTCCTTGGAAAGCTTAAAATGATTTTTATTTTTCAAAGGAAACTTTGGCCTTGTGGTCATTAAAATCTTATTCCATGGAAAAAAGGAGCAGAATAGTGGCAGTAAGTCTTGCCTATAGATGTGTCAACTGGTAGATGGAACCACAGGCCTGTCATGGGGGTTTCATGGAGCACTTGGATGTACGGGATCGAAGCCTTCTTTGAATGGCTCTGAGGCATGTGTGCTTGCATGGATGCTGTGTGCATTTTAAGGTAAATGGGCAAAAGTGACACCATACATTTCACTGTTGCCACTTCCTTACCTGACTCCACACCCACAAAAAGATTTCAGAGAATCTCTTAAAAGAGAAAAGTCTGGGGGGACACCATATTGAAATGTGGTATGAGTGAGGGTATATTGATTTTGTAGCTGAGTGGTTTGCATCATAACTCAATTTGCCACTGTGGTGCTAAAGCAGAAATAGATAAAAAGAAAATAAATGATGTGGTGTGGTATAGCAAAATTTATTTATACAAAAACTACACCAATAAAGAGTGAAAGCTAATAAACATTGCATTTTTAAGCAAGACAGAAATATTGCAAAAATGATTCCTTTTGATGGTGGTTCAGTACTGTAAGTATATTAAAAATCATTCCATTATATACTTTTGAGGAATACATTGCTTATTGCATGAAATACCTGTCAAAAAGCAGGAATAAATAAAAGAGCAAGACATATTTTGCTCATAGGGTATAGTTTGTCAATCCTTGCTCAGTATTATTGTCCCTATTTCATGATGTTCAGGGCATGTGTTCCCCAAGGATCAGGCATCATCTAGTACTAGCACACCTGCACCCCATCCCCATCATGCCAGTGGAATTCTCTGCACCAGAACGCTGGATCCCTAGAGACTTGTGGTGGCAATTCCTTTTCATGCCACTTCTTTCCCACCTGAGAAAAACAATTTGTAACTCATCCTGAAACTTCCTTCTCCTCAAATCTGTAGCAATTACGGAGACAAGTGAGATGCCCCAATGAACGTTAGATGATCAAAGGCCCTTATTTCCACTAATGGCAAAGAGCCTCATAATTGACACATCCCTGAGGCAAGATGCTCAAAGTGGGCTCTGTTTGGCCTGTTCTCCAAAAGAAAACAGAGTCATAATTTCTCTGTATAAAAAGATTAAAGAAATTACTCACCATGACAACTGTTGCAGTCCAGGTGCTGAAGTGACCCCTCAGTCCAGGAGGGACATCTAGCAATCATCGGCTGTGGCTGAGTCACACCTGGGCAGGCTGACTACACTGTTGCTCTAAGAGAACACGCTTGCACATGAGCCACACTGGAGAATTAATGAGAGGTGGGGGACTCAATGACCCTTGCATCTCTCATTGCAAATGGTGGCCTCCTCTGTGATTTCCACAGGGTACAAGGGTGTTTTGATCTGGCAACTTACACAGAGCTGGCACAGCTTATCCTTGCCCATTCTCCCCTGAGAGCTACTTCTCAAAGGGTCATGAAGCCTGAGAAACCATAAGAGAAGCCGTTTTCCATGAGGAGCCAGGAATTTACTTTTTTGTTCTCCAGAGCACAGTCCCAGCAGCTAGGACACAGGACAGGAGGCAGCCATGCTTTGTGGAGTGAGTGAAAGCCTAAAACCTGAATGATGAGAACAGCAGCCGTGTGGCCCTGGAGTGGAGAACTGGCCAGTAAGAGGTGTAACAGTTGCCCTTAACTGCGCTGAGGGCTCAGCCCAGTGTGAGTCTAAATAATTTCGCTGAAACCTCCTGCACTGCTCATGTGGATCCCTTTGTATATCCAAGTCTTGCTCCTCAAGCTTTATCACTTGAGCTCCTGCCTCTGAGTTGCCTGCTTTTCGCCTCAATGAGATCATTGTAAAATCTCCCTGGTTGTTGCATGTGGCGCTCCTTGCTTGAGTGGCAGTACAGATGGCTGTTTTTCTGTCTCTTTCCTCCTGTGGTGTGTCTCTTTCTTGCTTTCCTGCTGCTTCTTTAATTTAGGTTCTTCTTCTTTCTCCATACAGACAAGTTTTGACACTGGGCGGGTGGCCAGAGGACATTCCTTTCTTTATATCCCTAAGCCTCACGTGTACCTGTAAGGAGAGAAGACTGTATTTTGGCACCACCTGATCAGAGTATGGGTAGCAAGGGACACAGGAAGACACAGGAACAGAGAGGACAGTAGAAAGGACACAGGGAGTTTAAATTTTTTTTTGAACAATAAAGCCTTGGAAGAGATCAGGCCAAAGGAGAGAGAAATATGTCCCAAGATGTAGGGGCAGGAGGAGAGACAGGAAGAAAGACAAATGCTCTTAGGCTAGGGTAATGGAGAGAGAAGTCTACAGGGAGTCTGACTTTGCACCTCACCTTAAAGAATAAGGCTGATGTCTGGAATGTGTGACTTTTCAGGGTGGCCCCTTCTGTTCATTCTTTTTGCTCATCATTTAGACTTATGCATCCCCCAGTCTTCCCGCTTCTTAGCTCCCTCCCTCCTCCAGTCAGCTTTACGTCTCTTTTCTCACTGTCCAGTTTGTTTTGCCCAATTCCAATTGACTATTTGAGTATCTGGACTGCTCTGTCTGTTTCTTTGGGGACAGTGGCTTTTGAATGAGGGCCATTTCCAAAAATATTTTTGATATAGGGCTGGGTTTACTTGAGGAAAATAATTTCTTTTCATTTGTCTCTGGCCAGAACAGGTTTGCCAAACATGGCACAAGAGAATTTGTTTAAAGAAAATGAACAGAGTTATCATCTCAGAAAGCCTCTATGGACTTGTGGGATAGTAAACGGCATATAAACTCTCACTCAGCACATGGTTTGCTTTTCATCAGTGTCCTGTCAGCAGGGTGAGCAAGTATGTTTTAGAAAGAACGCTATAGAGATTCTCAAAAATGGCACAGTAGAGGAGGCTCAGTTCTGACCTTTGTAGGAGATGGGCAAGCACAAATATTTCCCAGTCTAAAGCTTAAAAATGATGTAATGTGCAGCTTGACCTTGTGATTGCCTTGAGTTTGAGAGCTCTTGCACAGAAGGAATATTTGGACAGAGTATGCTGTCCAGTGTAATCTGAGGCCATATCAGAAAAATACACTTCAAACACAATGCGGTGAAAAATTCAATTATTTTAATGGCTGAAACATTTGAAAACATTCAGAATTGTGACTACCTTCTTCACAGACACAAGTAGACATAATTAAATGAATCACATGGCTTTTTGGCAAGGCCAGCTCCTCCTTGGGACTATTAATTTCAAAATTAACAGCCACCAACTGAACCGTATCATTTCTGGACATTCTCAGTAGCTGCCTGATTAAGTAGGTGAGTGTTTCATTGAAGATACTATGGGGTTGTAACTCTTTGATCTTTTCCCTGTGTTCACATGTAATGAACTAAGACTGATCCAGATTGTTCTTTTTCAATGAGTGATGGACTCCACCTATGGCTACCAGAAGACAACACCACTGAGAAAGCCTGAAATAGATGATGAAATTCAGATAATTCCATGAACCCAGAAGACTCTTTCTCACTGGCACTTTCCTTAGCCACCCACAGAACCAACAGTAATTGCAGGAGAAGGCAGAGACCTCTCTGCTTTGATTCAGAATGTGTCTAAGACATAAAGAAAAACCACTAAAGAAAACAAGGGATGAAGGGCCAGGAACCAAGTGCTGCGGAATATATTGAATGTTCATAGGACTAAGGCTAGAAAGTGTACAGGGAAGAAAGCCTCACAAAAGCCAGATCTCTTCTGAGTGTCCAGATTTGGATACTAACAGAAGAAAATTGAGGCCAACACCACCGAAGACACCCCCAGACATGGCAAATGAGCCTCCACTGTCTGCTAAACCCACTGCAACAGACACCAGCCCAGGACTCACCTCCAACAGCCTGGGACAGTAATTTGTTTGAATCTGACATAGTGCCAAGGTTTAGGGCAGGTGACCATTGTGCTCTCAATGTTTGGGTCCCAGGATCCCTGACAGGACTTGCACAAGGTAACACAGAGTTGAGACTATAAGAGAGAAGCCTACTCTCTTCCCCCTAGTGCAACATTAAATTAGTTCAACAAATACCTGCCCCTCCCCTGTAATTAGTACCCAGGAGGATTGAAATTTGTCAGCTGGGTGAGGTAGGTTATTGTCTCCCCAAAAGCAACATTATGTTAGGTTATTTTACCCCTCCCACTGAGAGTTGTTGAAGAGATGATAAGTAATGAGAATCAAAGTGCATGGTCTCTGTGTCTCACTGTAGCTGTTTTAGCCCAGAACCTGATTAGTTGAGTCCCAAGGGAAGTCAGGGCATTGCACAACAGCCCTCAGCATGATGGAATCACAGTTCTTCCTAGGATCCTAACACTGGCTTCCATATCCCTGCTAGTCTTGGTTCAGGGCTGACTGAAGGCAAGATGCCACTAGAGGGAGCAGAAATGATCAGGAATGGAAATTGTTTTATATTTCTTTTCTCCATGGGAGGGACAATTCTCTTAGCCTCCGTGCTTTTCACTGGCATGCGCAAAATCTCCCCATGAATATTTGTGCATCAGGAGTTCACAGATCCGGTGGCATCTCCACGGGATCAAAAGTAACCCTCAAAGCCTCAGCTGTTTTGAAAGAGATTGGATCAGGAAGCACCGTAGTCATTACTGGTCTGATAAACTGGTGAGTTCCCGGTTGACTTTACTGTTAGTGGATGGGGCCTGGTCAGAAGAGAGGAGATGCTGAGGGCCTGACATGGAAGGGTGTATCTTCCTCTCTGTATTGTTTCACTGCTTCCTCATGCATTTGCATTGTGCATTTGTGATTGGTTCATTGTCTAGTACTTGGATTGATGGTGTCAGTGCTACACCCACATAGGGGTGGAGCCAGGATGTAATGTGATGGCAGGAAGAACGTGTGTCTCGCTCTTTGCCGGTTCCTGCTTGCTGCTTGCAGACTCCGTGAACTGTGGCCCAACCATGCCCGCCTGCCTTGGAGCCAACTGAGGATGGACTGAAACCTCCAAAACCTGTAAGAAACAAAACTTTCCTTTCATAACTTTGGGCTTCAGGTATTTTGTCCCTGCAGGGAATATAAAGTAACTAAGACAAGCAGGAACTTCTCTCCTATCATTATGTCCCTTTGAGTCCAGGAATGAGCTGCCTATTAGGTTTTGTGGCACTGTTGGCCCCTGGGCACGGTCACTGGAGCATGGCAGAGGGAACTCTTGGTAAGAACACACTCAGGGGAGGGGGAGTTGTGAAAGCCTAGGAAGGGAAAGTTCTGTGGGAATGAGATCTTGTTAGTGCCTGGGGCAGACAAAGCTGGTCCCGTGCCTCTGACTGGCACTGATGTGTGCTCTATCTGGGAAAACGGGATGTCATTTATTTCACAAGGAGGAGGCACAGCAGTGGTGCCATGCTTCATGATGTGTGAAGCTTACCTTGGGCCTCATCACTCAAAGCTGCTGGCATGCAGAGTGGCACAGTACGAGGGGAGACAAAGTACAGGCTGATTTCCAAGGACATGGAGATGTAGAGACCAAAGACGCTAAGGCAATTGTGAATGTATGGCAAAGGGGAAGGAGCCACAGAATCCATGTGCAATCGGTGGGTGATCTAAGGCAAAGAGAGGGGACTAGGGGCTGTCACTGAGGACAGTTCTGCAGGCATTTGAGGAATGGTCTCTTCAGGTCTTTTCGACTCCGAATGCATTGGAGACATTTGTTTTTCTGACCCATGTGTTAGGGCGTGCATCTGTGAGCAAACAGCTGTGTGAGGCACAGAGAGGCCTGGAGGGTTAGGAGGGCATATTCACAGATGAGCCCGCTGTGCCTTAGCACCTGTAGCCCTGACTTCTTCACAGAGTCTCTTTTCTTGTTGCCAATGGAATAACACACCAGGACATTTGGACTTTCCTTAAGGAGATTGGGTGACTCTCCTCTCAGCCCATGCTCTGTCATTAGGACATCCCATAGTGACATCCTCAGCGAGTCTTGTGCAAGGGCTTAAGACCCTTACCATGGTCCTCACTCGACTCTCAAATCCTTCAAGTATTTCCACTTAGCTACCAGTCGTCTTTGCAAAATCTCATCAGCACCTGAAACTTGTTGCAGTGATGCTGGAGCTTTCATTCTGTCCTCTTTCAAGAATCTTTCCTCCAGTATGCTCCTTAGTTGGGGTTCCCCCATTCCTCCAGGTGGAGTCACCCTGTGAAATCCCATGGTCCCTGATTCATTGGGCTTCTGCTGTTAACATGGGAATCTCTGCAAGTTCGTATTCTGCCCTGTGTTGAAATGTTTCCCAAAATGAATCCGTGTACTATTCACAGCACTTATAGGAGCCCAAGAATTCATTATCTTCCCCACTGATCCTTAATAACTTTGTAGAAACTTTGCAGCCTGTCATTTTTCCTTTTAGTTATTTTTGTTGTTGTTAGTGCATGTTTGTAGTACGTTAAGATTATGTCCCTCTTGGGAATTTGGTATATTTGCATAATAAACCTCAATTCTTTTCCATCCTCCTCCCTTCACCACTCCCTTCCCCTCCCCCATTTCTTGATGCCCTTCATTTTTGCAAAGCATCTCGCTCCCTATTTTTGTATGTTCTGTTTCTGTTGATTCTTTAGGCACACTAATTTTAAAATGATAGCTTTACATGATTTTATTATTACACTCTTTTAGTGTATAACATTTACATTCCTTATTGAGAGTTAGTATATAAACACAATGCATCTGAATTCTCTTCATGCCCATCCCCTTGTTCCTTTCCCTTCCTCTAGCTTCCCCATCCCTGCATCAATTGACACATTTTATTTTGTATAATGTCTGTCTCTCTGTTTCTTATTACCTGTCTTTCAGTCAGCTCTTTAATGAATTTATATTTGGAATTTAGGGCTAGAGTTAGGGTTAGGGGTTAGGGTTAGTCTTGAAAGAGAAACCATGTGATATTTAAGCTTATGTGTCTGCTTTTCACTTAACATAATTCCTTCATTATGACATTGTGTGGGATGTGAATGCTACACTTTCTTTATCCATTTATCTGTTGGTGAATATATAAGCCACTTCCAAGATTTAGCTATTATGAATTGTGCTACTAAAAATGGGTTTGTATTTTCACTTTGAACTGTATTATTTTTAACTCTTGCTCAGGATACCTAGGAAGGGAAGAGCTCAGTCTCTCAAAAGCACATTTGATCTTGCTATACAAGATCTAAAACATTACAAATTATCTCCAGCATCAAATCTATACCTCAGCTCTGGAATGGTTTTCTCTGTTAGGTTTTTCTACTTATATCATTTACTGCCCTGTCCCAGCAGCCCAGACCATGCATTCTTCCGAGAAAGTCATTTTCACATCTCAGCTCCTGGATTCCTGCTCAGCCAGGACCCTTCAACTTGCCTCATCTCTCCTGTGGAGCACATCCAGTCTCATGCCATACACGCCTTTCTTAGTCGTCCTGGTATGACAGTGATGATAAGTCCATTGTATACATTCCTTTCCCAGTGTTGTATTACCCTATGCAGATTCTTCCGAATTGGCAAATGCAGTCAATAGACCAAGAAACATTGTGAATACCTCAAGGGAACATATTTCTGTAGATCTCCTAATGAAAAGGAGTTCAAGTTTCACTTAAATCTCCATGTATGCCATGCTATATACTGAGATATATCTGAACACAAACTGTTAAACTATGCAATGAAAAACTGGTGGTGTTCTTATAAAAGAGGAGTAACACATTATATATGCATATATGAAGACTTAAGAGAGGAGTTAAATTCATAAATGTACAGTCATTAGTGCACATAAAAATGACAAGTCTGGGAGAATAACCATGGACAGTGTGTATTGTCTGATGCATATCATGGGTTATAAGTTTTCAGTAGACATGAATTCAAAAGGCAGGTCGCTTATAATCTGTAATGCACAGGAAATTCCGTGTAAGAGTTGAGATTTGATATGAAAAGAGGGATAGCATAATTACAATATTATGTGAGTGCTTTTTATGTGTCAGGTGCCAGAGAAATATTAGCATAAACTTCCTTTGTCCTATAAAAGCCTAGTTATGTAGCCCTTATTTATATCCTTATTTAACAATTGAAGACAATGAGATAATATGTCACCCAAAATTGTGAACTACACAAACTGGGGGTTTGGCTCAGTAGTATAGTGCTTAGTTAGCATAAGGAAAGTGGTGGATTCAATCTTCACTATATCAAAAAATTGTCCTGTGTTATGGCTTATGTCTAGGTGTTCCCTTAGAGCCTCATACACTCATAGGTTACAAATAATTGCTAGATCTTTATAGAGAGGTTGACGACCAGGGCACCAATTTGTTGGAATTGTGGTTGGGACTGCTTTTTGGTTTAGATCTACAACATCCCCAATGCCTTACATGTTCAGTGGTGGGACTTTTGAAAAATGACTGGACCATGGGTTCTCTTTACAATTGTCATTGATGACATGTGCTCTTAGAAGGTAGGGCCAGGTTGATGGAGGTGGATGGTGCAGGAAATGGTGACCTGGAAGAGTTTGTTCTTGTCCATGGCGCTCTCCTCCTTCCCTGTCCTCCTCTGCTACTGCCTTTTCTCATCGTCTGCCTCATTCCTTTCATTCTCCCGTCTCATCCTTTGCTTTTCTTCACACCTAGCCCATGGCCTGCACTACACAAATGTCTTTTCACTAAGGTGAGCAGATAGATGTTAAAGAAGAGCATGAAGGATGCCTCTCACTAAGGAAGGGATCAAATGACAGGAAGGAAATGCTATCACTCGAGTCTGTATGGGGCAAGGGAGCAAGAGTGAGGGATTTCAGGTGCCTCTACTGGCAAGAAGCCACACCAACTCTAGATCTGTCGCAGGTGCACTGAACCGGATAGCAACAGAGGATGTTGGGTTCCTCCAAAGATCATGACACAATCCCTTCTCACCTCCTGGAGGCTTACATTTGGTCAGTGAACTCCACAGCCTCTGATACCTGTCCAGTACCTACAGCTCAGAGACCTAAGCAGCAATTTGTTGGGATCTGAGGAAGTGCCAAATTAAGTGCCATTTGCCCATTGTTCTCTCAATGTTTGGGTCCTAGGATTGATGACAGGACTTGTGCAAGGTGACACAGAGCTGGGATTGGAGGAAAAAGGCTTCTGTGCACTGTCTGTGCTCCTATTTCTCTGTAGAATCTCTCAGTCACATTAATCATATGGTGAGTCTGCCTTAACCCAGTAGCTAACAGGGTTGGAATTCATCAGAAGAATAAGTTAAGTAATGACCCCAAAGATTTCACGTGTTATAGATTATAGCTGAATGTCCCTATAATGCTGCATGCATTCACAGGTGAGCTTTAGGGAAGTGATTGGAACATAAGGATGTGGTAATATCAGTGAATTAGCCCACTGGTGAGTTTATAGTGGAATGTGATGTTGGGAGGTGATGAGATGCTGACCTGTTGTGGGCATGGCCTGGAATGGTGTATCTCCCTATGTTCTCCTCTCTCTCTCTCTCTCTCTCTCTCTCTCTCTCTCTCTCTCTCTCTCTCTCTCTCTCTCTGCTTCTGGCTGCCTGGACATGAGACCTTGGTCCTCTACCATGTCACTTTTTCCATGCCACTCTGACATGGAGCTAGCTGATTTGGTACTGAATTCTCCAGAAACTGTGTAGAAATGTAAAGCTTTCTTCCTTACAGTTGTGGGTGTAGGGTACAATTGCATTGAGTTATGGCCATGAGAATCTAAATGAAACACTACTACGTGTCATATGACTATACCTCTAGACTACTGTAGTTTCCCTGTAACAGAGATGCTGAAGAGGGAAGTGGAAGTCAAAAACATTCATGTCAATGTGTCTCACTCTGCCCTCTGAGTCCTAGAGCCTCATTGGCTGAGCTTCAGTGGAATCATGGTAAGGCACAATGGCCCATGAAACCTAGGAACCGAGCGACGAGAGCCCTTTTTAGGATCCTAACTAGGGACACTAGAGAACTGGTACTACTGTTTCAAGACCGAATAAGGTAAGTGAAAGGCATTATTTCAGGAAAAAGTTAGTACCTGTGCATGGACAGTGGCTCATACAGCTTCCCATGGTCAGGGAGAGCAGTTGTCTTGGCCTTAAAGCTTTTCCCTGGAGTGTTCAAAGTGTCCTCATTAAACCTTGTGTCTGAGGAGGCCATAATACTCTTGGCATCTCCACAGGTCCCTGGCCATGCATAGCATTTTGGCTATCCAATACCATTCAGGAATTTATCCCAGGTTATAATGTTTTATAGTATTCACTTCCTGTTCTCAGCACCTTCCTTGCTAAGGTCTCTGTAGATGTTCTTTTTGTAATGCACACGTTACAAAAGTAGGGTGTTACTTGTGGTAGAATTGGCCGCATATTGCAATATCCTCAAGGCATAATTCCTTCTGAGTCTCTCACCTAGAACAACTCTACTGTTCATGTTAACACGTTACCAAAGACCCAGTTGTGTTGGATATTTTCAGAATGACAAAGAGCCAAGGTGAAGATCAGGTTGTGTGTGCATGCGTGTGTGTGTGTGTGCACATATGTGCGTGTGTGTGTCTGGCTGTGTCTGTGTGGTGTTTATGCTGGTTAATGAAACCCTGGGTTTCACACATGCTTTCCAAGTACTCTGCTTCTGAGTCTCTGCACGAGTCCTTTGCATTTTGATAGAGTCAGTCTCCATAGGAGACAAAATGACTATCAGCAAGACATGTGACTTGACCCCAAGCTGGCTACCTCACTTCATATCAAATAACAAGTAATGAAATTGAGGCATATGTCTGTAAGTATGACTCCCTGTTGTGGGTAGCATACATGGGCCTACGTTTCCTTCTATCTCACATAGAACCACGCAATGAGAATGTGAGAGATGTGTTCAGTGTCTGAAATAAAAGGAAGAGCATAGGTGGTTTTTCAGTGTTATTGTTATTAAGAAAGTGTCTTTCTCTTCTTCAAAGATTGCCTTGGTATAATACCAAAGCAATTTCTAGGAACTTGGCCTGGAGAAGTTGGTTGATACAAGTACAGTGCATTACAGATTGCCCTCTAATAACTGTATGATATTGTCAAAATAAAATATGCTGTTTATATTGGACACAATGTTATGAAATAATTGTAAATTTAAGTTTGAAATACTTGCTTTTGAAATATGAGGAAAATATATATGATGCATTCTGTTACCTTTCTGTTAAGTGTTAAAATACTATTTCAAAATGCAAATTTTTGGAAAAATTAATTTTGAGGTACTGTAAAGCCTTGTCCAAAGTAAGCTTTGAACTCAGTGAAATCCAAATCATGATTCAGAGAAGGAGTTCAGTTATATAGGGAGAGGAAAGCTGCATCATAACGTTATCCTGCAGAGGAAATGCATGGCCAGGGACCTGTGGAGATGCCAAGAGTATCCTGCAGAGGAGACAGCTAACAGAGGCTCTGAGCACACTAAATATCAAGACTCACTTAGTTGGATTAGTTGTACAAACAGGAATTGGTAAACATTTCATTGAAGCAACAGTAGACATTAGCATCTTAAAATATACTAACATATTTGTGGAGATTAAGCAGTTTGTATTTCAATGATGATCCTATCACAAAACAGGCTTTTAAGGGCTTTCCTGTGTGTGTGTGTGTGTGTGTGTGTGTGTGTGTGTGTGTGTGTTCATGTGTGTATGTTTGTACAGACACAAGTGCAGAGGGCCTTCTGGGCTCACTTTCTATCCCTTTTTAATGACTGAAGTCTTCCTAAACATTGCTGGTGCATGTACATAGCACATTTTAATTATGTTGTTCCCTTTATCCCCCTACTTACACATGAGCCTCATTGCTATCTTAATCTCTGACATGTTTTCTCATTTGTTTGCTACCATGTAGTCTCCATTTTAATATTTTACAAATTAATTTCTATTTTAGGTTTCTCATGCAAGATAAACTGTTTCATAGTTAACTTTCTGTGTTCATTTTTCTCAACATTATTGTTTCCAGTTCCATCCATTGTTTTGAAAATGGCATGTGTTCATTATTCTTTGTGTGTATATACAGCATCGGCATACCTTCACATGTCTTATTTTGAAAAGGAAAAATGTTTTATTGGAATATTAGATTGAAGATATCAAAGAAATGCAGCTTAAGTCATTGGAGTCAGGTCTTCTGTTGTCAGGTATCTGGACAGTTTCAGGAGTTGCAGGTTTCCTATATTCCAGAAAGTTTGACTGATTTTTACTGTTGTTTTCTTCCATCAGGCATCTTTGGAACTAGACAACTATGGATAAAGGCAACCATGAGGTCAATCCCTGCACACAGCAGTCCAGGGTGACAAGGAAGGCTGATCAATACTTGAGAGCCAGCCTGGCCTCCCAAACCGTGCTGAGCGTTATCCTTGGAAGACAAATAGGAAGACACAGCAGTGATGTGCAAATGGCAAGGTGGCTGTTGATAGAGGCTCCAGCAACAACCCTAGGGTCGAGATGGCCCTGGCCAATACACGAAGCAAGTCAGCCATCTGTGTGCTCAGCGAGCAAAGAGAAATCCCAGAAAACAATGTGAATCAACAGAAGCGGTGCATGAGAGAATATTAAAGCTCAAGCTGTATTTTCCCTCTTTTGATCTCCTGTGGCATTTTGTTTCCTTGCTCTTGACCCATATCCAATCCAGGTGCCACACAATAAACATGGGCATGTGTGCTCTGGTCACTGACCCTTGACAAAGTGTGTAGTAGTGCTGCAGAGGGTGGGCAGTACAGAGGAACCACGTGCAAAGAAGCACAAGGTCGGCAGAGTGCACCAGGGCAGCTACCCTCCTCCTGCACTTCTCTAGGGGTTAGGACTTCAAGGAGGACAGTAGGAATCTCTGTTTCCTTGAATCTTGATGGAGGCAGGGAGAAAGAGTCTGAATCACACTGAAGTGGAAAGGAGTGGAGGGCACAGGGGTGAAGCATGCCTAGGACAGCCACATGGAGGCCGTGTCAGAGGCTGTAGGGGACAGGCACTCAGTGATGTCTTCTTCAAACTAGGCTTGCTAGTGGGGCACAACTGGGAAAATGAGGTAGATTCATATGGCTGTAAGCTTCCATCTGGATAAGGGAGACTTTCCCTGACTCTGACCTCTTGCCCCACTGCGTGTTCCACAGATGCCCGGTTACAGGCTGAGTGCACATGGAAGAAGTATACCAATGCTCAGTCCTTTCCTCCAGCAGGTTGAGGACTAGCCTCATCTCAGGTGAAGGAAGCAAGAAATTGAGAGATGAGCGCTGTGATCATCACCTTAGATGGGAAAGAGGTATTACTGGACACTCACGGGATGGATTGCCATAGTCCCCAGAAACGTGGTCACCTGATAGTGACCAGAGAAGTTGCATTGCTGTCTTACAGATTTCTAATGGAGACGGGAACTAGGGACCCAACAGAATGGATATGGATGGGACATTGTGAGGACAATGAGCCAAAATTATTTGGACTTGGCGTCCAATCTTCTATATACTTGGCATGTATATAAGGGAATGGGAAGGTCAAAGTTCAGAAAACTTCTTACTTCAGGGGTTAATGGAACACTTATTGGAGAATTTTCATTTTCTTAGATGAGAAGTTTGTACTTTGGCATCCCTTTTGCTGCTACCCATAAAATTCAACATTGCTGGGATCCAGCATCAATTGAGAAAAAAATGGGAGCTAGAGAATAAACAAATACATTACCATAGGGAAAGAATTGTGTTGATCTTATTTCCGAAGGCTGGTAATGAGTAGCTTTGAACATCTGATTCTGCTAGCTGCCCTACATTGTCACGTGAGGTGGAAGAGGCATGCACAGTGTTTAAATATGAGTTCTGGAAAAGTGGACACTAGGATGCACCTGTGCGCACAAAACCTGGCTTCAGAGGGAAGTGCAGGCAGCACTTGTCAGGGTGGGAGGTGAGGTGCACCCGAAGACAGTCAGTTAAGGGAAAGCGATCACACACACACCCCGTCGTGGACAGGTGGAGTGTGTTCCCAGAAGATGTCGCATGACTGTGCATAGCACACACCTCAGATTCATCCCAGGTGCAGCAGGAAGAAGGTGCCTTAGTTCGCCACCAGTTAGCTTTTTATTGCTACATGATGTCATGTGGTGGCAGAATAAACTGTGTTACTTCTAACTGGTCATGTTTTGGGGCCAACAAGTTCCTGGTGTGTATAAATCTCTTAATGAAGTGAGTCATAAGGAAGGGTCCTAAGTGGGCTTGCATTTCTAAAGGAGAGACCGGGCTCTGAAGGGCAGAATCAAAATCAAAAAATCAGTTTCAGAATCTTGGTGCCATTGTCTGTTGCTGAAAGATATCAATCTCAGCAGTAGTTTCCATGATATTCTCTGTAAAGTGGCACTAAGTTTTCTCTACAATTAAGTGTCCATTAAATATTTTTTATTTATCATTTGTACTTGGGAGGAAGTTTCAGGATCCTAGGAAAGAAGTTCAAGCAATTTTTGACATTTATATTGAGATACTGCAGCAAACTTCGTCTCGTAGGCATCCACGACCTTCTCCAGAGAAAAGGCTATATTATATTGTGGTATTTCTGGCTAGAGACATGCCATGGTCATCAGAGACCTTGGAAGGTCATGGAGATCTTGGCTGCAAAGCTCTGCCATTCCACTGTTCCCAGTGAATTTACAGAAGCCAGGCTGAGAACTCACTTTCTGCCTGGGAGTCTAAGCACCTCCTCTCTTGATCCTCCGGAACTGTATTCTTGTTGTTACGGTGCTTTGGGTCAAGGAATGAGCGGCCGTTATGCTGTGAGCTACTGTCATCCACAATACACTGTCATCTTAACCTGAAATAAGACAGGAACACAAAGGCAGAGAGGCCGTGCTTCTCATGGGTCACTCCAATGCAGGATGAGCAGAATGAGTGAACCACTGGGTGGGATGTGTATTCCTACAGGACTAAAAGCTTTCGGATGAAGACTGTCATCAGTGGCATGGGGCTTTCCTTCCACTTTGGGAAGGCTTATGCAGGCAAAGCTGCATGTTTCACCTTCAGACTCATTGCTTTGTGTGCGGAGAGTAACCGTGAAGATGGGAGGGAGCTTACTGCAGATGCTAGACACTTCAACACTCAAAGGCTGTGGTCTCAGTGCACACTCATGTGGATCTTTGTGTACACGTGACTCCTAGTTTGTGAGGGCATGGACACAGCTTCCTTATTAGAGTGAAAGGAGAGACTCTGCTACCACCCAGACACAGGCTCTTCCACACACCTCTGGTGCCCTTTCCCTGTGTACTTAATATCTTTGCTCTGAAAGTGACACCAGTTGGAGGCAACTAGTGAGAGGAAAGCTGTCAATAGGAAGCAAAGTTGGCGGAGTCCCGTCTAATACAGTCTGTCTGGTACTGCGTGATGCATATACCACATTTCAGTCTCTTGCGCATGGCAAGAAAAAATTGAAGTGTACATCCAATATTAAAAGAAAAACTAGCCACAATGACTGAAGATATTCTCAGAGCAAGCACAAACATAAAAGTAGTGTCAGGATGACATGGGAATTAAAAGCACACACAACACACTGACCAACCAGGCCTTTGGCATTTAAAATATGTGCGCCCCAGACTGGTTGCTTCCCACTGGGTCTTCAGATATGATGGACAGGAATGACTGACAGACTTATGAGTCACCTCAGGGCCTTTCCATAAGCAAGAGTGTCTCACAGCTCAGTCTGATTAAATGGCATGCATGTGTTGAAGTTGGTATTTATGAAGCTTTAGGAAAGTAGTAGTAGGGGAAAGGTCACACAAGGTGAGACCAGGTATGTAGCATGCATCTGCTCTGACCGGCCGCCTGAAAACCCCTGGGTCTTGATGCTTTGTCTTGCACCTATCTCAGAACAGTAAAAGGGAGATTGGCCCTGGGGTGCTGCCCAAACTCTAGTGGGTGGAGGGGAGTGGTTTCCCAGCACCCATTGTACTACCTGCATTAACTCTTTATCTGTTACACTATATGATAGTCCTCGCCCAACTCAGGAAGTTCAAGGCCTGCAAATGTTCCAGGAGAAGCTCTTGAGAGTGGCTCAGCACCTTCTTATGCCTTTCAGTGTTGATCCACTGTGCACTGCTGGTGGCAGTGATGATGAGGCCTGAGGTCACAGGGAGGACAGTTTCAAGGGAGGGAGGGACATGTTGTCCAGGCAAGCACCAAGAATGGAGTCTCTCTGCTTCACAGGCTCAGACTGCAGTGATTCTGTGTGGCGGCCTAGCCCACTGTGTTGCTTTATTGGACATTGTGGTCCCTGTTTCACAGGGTCATTGTGGAAGCTGTGGGTGATCCTCCCGCTGAGCACCCTGAGCCTGTCCTTTTGCAAGAGGCAAAGTGCTGTATAGCAGCTGGGTCCACACCGCATGATGGATCAAACTTACCTTGGCCATCATGACTCACAACAGCTGGCATCACAGAGAAGCACTTTTTTGTAAAGAAAAAGAGCCCTGATGTGTCAAGGGGGCCAAGAACGTGTGGAGGAGGGAAAACAGCCAAAAGATCAGGGTGAAAGCTCTGCTTCATCTAAGAGAATCAGATGGAGAGGTGTTAGTGGCGGTGACACTGCTCCCCAGCAGCAGAAGAACAGTCTAATTTGGTGCGTTGACTCTTCATACATTGGGCATATTTATCCCTCTGACCTATATGAAAGGACACACATGTGAAAACAGATATCTACAACATACCTGTAGGTATGGTACTGAGAATGGGGCTGCTGATTTCTCCATTTGATATTGGAGAACTATTATGTCAAAATTGTTAGATTTCAAATGGTTGAGTTTGTTCCCCTTGAAGTTGAAGAATAAATTCCAAGGGACATTGTAAAAAAAAAAAAAAAAGCTTTATTGAAGGGTAACTCCTGAGAGAGCAGTTCTAATAGTAGCTGTCTGCAATGAAGTAATTAAGATTTTTATAAACTCCTGTAGTTTTAATGTTTTATATTTATTTGTAGGTGTTTGCAGTACATAATGATTATATTCTCCATGTACAGGGTACACTACCATAACAAATCTTAGTTGTTTCTCTTCCCCCCTCTCTGTCTCTAGTTCCCCTTGTATTTTGTAAAAAAGCATCAGAACCTTTTTTCTGGTAAATAAAGTATGTGACTCATGTCAGATTTAACCCAAAAAAGTATGTGAAATGCATATTCCTGTTCTCAAATAAAAACAACACTCAACAGCAGCTAACGAATGATCATGACTTCTCTTAAACATTCTCTCAGTGTGTTACTTTTCTACTTTTGGATTAAAAGAAAATAATAGGAGCATGCTTTCCAGCACAAAAATGCTCTTCACACAAAATGGCCAGGGCCAAGATTTAAACTGACATGCATCTTAATATCTCCCTAACACCTCTGTAAATCAGGGAGACAGATCTTGTGCAATGGAGAAGGAAAGAGTGGCTGTGCTGTGTTGCCTTAGGGATGTCCACACTGCTGCTGGTCTGCAACACACAGCTGCTGGGTTCATACAAAACAGTAGAAAAGAGAAGCTGGAAGAGCAGACTGCATCAGAAAAGTGGACAGCCCCGACCCATTCTCCCTGGCTCCTTTTATTTAGAGCCAATGCTGCTCCCATCCCCCATGTGACCACCTGGAAGT